GCAGCTTCTGGACTCTGTTCAGCTGGTGCAAGAGGCAAGACGGAATATTATTGCAAGACATTATGTATGAGCTTAACAAAACAAGGCTGACAACATATTATTTTAAAAACTTCTACATAAAATATTTACAATTATTAAAATATGCATTTCTAACCATGGATGGTTACTTTATTGACCACAATTGACAGTCTAAATCATATGCTAATTTAAGATACTAATACTTTAATCACAAAGTCAATTTAGCAAATTTTGAGAATATTCATATTATTTTCAGACAGTACTGAGAGCACTCCTACAACACAAAAATCCATCCTACCATACAACCACACTGTATGACCACAGCAGCAGCTATGGCTGAGACAAAAGAGTTCTCCTCCTACTGAGAGACTGCCATATAAAAATGCCCCTGGGCAACACAGCTAACTCTCCAGCTGCCACAGAAATGCTCTTAAGTGGACATTTGCGGTAAGCAACAGTTTGTGTGTAACTACAGGGAAACATACATTTTCCTATAACTTTCACTACTCCCATGTTTACAGCTGTCAATGAGAGGTTGCATTTTGAGACAATTTGTCTCCTTTAAATCATAATTTGTTGTTGCATATTAAACTATGCTGTAAAGGTTTTTTTCCCCACTATATACTTGTCTTTCACTGCATCGAGACGAACGCATTACTGTTAAACAGATCTTTGAAGAGGAAATTATAAAATATGTCAACATTGGCAAGATTTTTCATTTTTAAGACCGTAGCACTACAACAGGTGTAAGCTTTTCATTTTATTTTAAATAAGTACTTACATTTTTAAGAATGTCTACAACTGCCTCAGTACCTCACTGTGTCTTTAAATGAAGTCAGACTCATGCATTTGGACAGCCCTCCTGAATCAATGACACCATTTAACCAACAGCGTCAACATTATTTCATCCTCTGGGACTGGGAGGCGTTACTTAGGACGGGACAGGAGGAGAACACTAGAGACTTGAAGTACAGAGTAAGACATCCCCAAGAGAAGAAAGGGCCTATTCATACATATGGGCCTTAGCCAGCACAAATAATCACTGAACAGGAGATCTTTGTGGCACCAACAGTTATAGGCTTTGCTGCATGAAACGGCATGTGAGAAATTCCGCTTTTAAGCACTTGGCTCACACCTGACAAATATCTTAATATTTATAACCAAGCATGTTTAAAGTATTTCCTTAAATCTGAGCTCTCATCAATATGTAATGAGACTTCTTCCATTCTTGCTAAAGTTAAGAGTTTTATTGGGATTAAACCCATGTGATACTTAAAGACAGCTGTCAGATGATGTTTTAAGCTTTGTAAATATTTAGCAGGTTAGTGGCTCATCAAGTTGAGATCATCTTTACACTGTTCCTTATCTTACTTTGAGGTGATAATAAACCAAGCATAATACCAAAACAGACATCCTTGTATGAGCAGACAGCTCTTGACGAGATGAGGTCTAAATTTCAGAACTAATCTAACTTTACATGCTTCAAAAGAAGATGAAATGTTAAGTCAGTGAAAGCCGCAGCTGATGCGACTACAGACTGTAAACGGAAGAGTTCAATGAAAAATCTGAGATCCAGGTGCAGCAGTGTTGTCTTTTAGCTTTGTTTACCCCCTTTGTTGAACATTCATGTTGCTGTAACAACTGAATTTCCCTCTGGGCTTAATAAAGTCAGTCGTCTAAGCATGTCGAATGCAGTATAACTTCTAAAGAAAACAGTCCACTCATTAACTAAATGTTTATTTCTGTGTGTAATCTATACAATCGTGTTAGTTGCAATAACACATCCAGAGAACGGTGAATTTGGCGTGAGTGATGGTGCAGCACTATCACATTATGAAGAAGGAACAGGCAGGCCTTATTTTTCTCCCCACTGAACACAAGCTGCAGTCTGACAGCCCGTCCAACCAAACTATAACATGTGATCTAACCGTCTTTACAATCAGGAATCTAAATACGAAACAAGAAGTAAACATGACTTTATCTCAACAGATCCAGGAGACTAGCACTCCCACAGCCAAAGTCCATTTATGCAAGACAGAGCTTGCCACTGACAGCAACATTACAGCCTTGAGCG